CCAGGTTACAGAAAATACAAACCCAGAAAACAGAGTCACTATAGAAAACCTAGAAGAAGCTCTTGATCGAGCGTCAGTTGACGTCAATGTTACAAACTTCAAAGCTGTCAATATGGGGTTTAAGAAACTTAAAGTGAGCAATGGGGACATTAAATACAAGAAACGTATTGGAGTTTTAATCTCTGGCTCAGGGACAAACCTCCAGGCGTTGATTGACAGGAGTCTGCGGCATGACAGTAGTTCAGAGATTGTGCTGGTTGTTAGTAACAAGCCTGGTGTTAAGGGGCTTGAGAGAGCACAAAATGTTGGGATACCAACAAAGGTAATTTTTCTTTGCCAAAGTTTTAATTACATACCTATTTCATGAAAAGGATATTTTATATATTTTTTTAAATATTTATTTTGTTGGTTGAATTGTAATTTTGGCTTTATATTCGATCATTAACTGAATGTTATGTATAATAGTTTAAAACAGGAAAGGGAGTGTTTTATCAGGTGTAAAGATTCAAACCAGAGACCTTTGCTAGCATCATGGACCTTTATATCTGATAAAGGTCACCCTTATTAGTGTTCTTTGTATAAAGAATACTAATAAGGAGTGTTTTATTAGATATAAAGGTCCATGCATGTGACCAAATAGGCTCGTTCTATTGGCCTAGTAGCTCATTAATTATGTATGAGTTTTTGAAAGCAGATTTATAAAACTCATTAATATTCATAAGGCAAAACACAATAGAAATCATAGCCCATGAAGAGAGTTGTATATTACATACAGATTTCTTGTTCATTTGCATAAACTTTTACTCTGATTTTCTCAGTCAGATTGAATTTTTTTTCAAAAGTTTCTTTAAAACCTGAGCTAATTTACCTTAACGTTTCATAAGAAATATACAATATTCGCGTGCGATCTGTATGAGGATTTAAAACAGCTCGCTTTCAGCTCGCTGTTTTAAATCCTCATATAGATCGCCCGCTCATATTGTATATATTACTTAAAGATGTAAATTACACATTTTTTACACGTAGGTTATCAATCACAAGGAATACAAGTCAAGGTTAGATTTTGACATGGCGGTACACTCGACTCTGGAGGAACATGACGTAGAGCTTGTTTGTTTGGCTGGTTTCATGCGTATTTTGACTGGGGAATTTGTGAGAAAATGGACTGGACAGCTCATCAATATCCATCCTTCCCTGCTGCCTTCTTTTAAGGGAGTCGACGCACACAAGCAAGTGTTAGAAGCTGGTGTTACTCTAAGTGGATGTACTGTGCATTTTGTTGTGGTAAGGTGTACTTTCTAAATGGAAAAAAGCTGTGTGTTTGAATGCTAAAAAGCCATAGTCTTACCCATCATGATACTAAATAAATATAATGAAAATTTTAAACTATTTCAGGAGGAAGTTGATGCTGGTGCAATAATTACTCAAGAAGCAGTTC